GCTGATTAGATTCCATTTGAGTGGAAATAAGATGCGAGATAAGTTTTTCTCTATTGAACTAGTTTGGTTAACATAATTAGTCTTAACATAAATAAAATGTATATCTCTACTTAATTCAAATAAAGTAAAACTGAGCTAGCATTAAAAAAAAATTGAGAAGAAGTCTTGAGAAATAGATCTTTGAAAAAAATCAAAAAATTTTATTTTTATTTTATTTTTATTTTATTATAAGTCTATTTGAACATTTTTAAATATCTCTATTTTTTTTCATTCTATTCTTTTGTGGTTTTCTATATTCCTATGGCTTGATAGAATATTTAATGTTGATAATTTGCTGATAATTAGTAATAAACTAGAAGAGTATTTATATAAAGACTATTATAAAACAAACTATTGTTTCCAAGTTCAAATTTAGAAATTATTATTGCTTATTATGAGTTTGTTAAATTTAGTAAAAATATTTACAAGAAGTTTTTTACTTCTTTATTAATAAAGTCTTAATATTTTTATTAAATTAACTTGAAATATAATTTCAAGAGTCATTTTTATTCTTTTTTCTAATTTATAAATTAATTTACTCAAAATTTGACTTCTGATAATCATGAAATATTAATTAATATCTTTGATACTAATAATAAGAAAGTTCTTAAAAAAGAAAGAAAGAACCAATTATAAAAAATTTGAAGGTCTTTTCAACTTTTTAAGTAAAGGATATAGAGATTCTATTGCAGTAAAAGGTTTATTTTTATTATTATTTTAATCCTTTTAGAGCTCTATTTTTATAGTTTTTTGAAGAATTTTGTCTATTTTAAGTTGACTCCAAATTTCAAATAGCTCAAATTCTTATTAAAGATAGTTAATTAACATAAAATATATTAGTTTATAAAATCTAACACTTATTGTTTATACTTATATATTCTAATAATATTAGTAATAATTGAAAAAAAGGTTTAAAAATTGTTTTTTCCAAAAGTCTTAAATTCTTATAAAAAATATTTAAGATAACAAAAAATAAAAGATAAGTAATATAAATTGTAAAATTATATTCTTTTTAAGTTTCATAAGTAGTAAGAAGACTTTTTTAACTAATATTTAAATATGTATATTTTTTCATTGATCCTCTGATTACACACAAAAAAGATATTTGCAAGAAGTTTTTATACTTCCTTGTTAATAAAGTCTTAATACTTTCCTTAAAACAATTTGAAGTATGACTTCAAAAGTCACTTCTACCCTTCCCCATTGTTTACAAATCTCTTCACTCAAAAACTTGACTTCTAGTAATCAAGAAAAGTCAAGCAATACCTTTGATAACAATGGCAAGAAAGTTTTCAAAGGAAGAAGAACTGACTGTGAAGTATCTAAAGACCTATTTAATCTTTGAAGTGAGAGGTATATAGAGGTTTTTGATAATAGAAGTGCTTATTTTTCCTCTTTCAGTCACTTGTAGGCCTCTTAGAGCTATCACTTTCATGGTTTTCTGGAAAATTTTGCCTAACTAAGTTTGATTTTAAATTTTTGATAGCACAAATTCTTACCAAAGGTGATTGACTAACATGAAACATGTCAGTTTTTGAAATGTAAACAAACTTCTATTGATTACACTTACGTATCTCAATATATTATTGGTGATGTAAAAAAGAAAGTTCTAGAAAAATTGTCCCCTTCAATCATGTATATTCAATCTTCAAGAAACAATTATGATATCAAAAAGCAAGCAACAGATATAAAAAGAAGATTCAACTACTATCCCTCATTAAGTTCCTCAGTAGTGAAAAGACTTTCTTGAACAAAAGCTGAGGTCTTCAAGCTTCTATCCTGGTCAGGCAAAGTTCCTGAAAAGATTTCTTTATCCTGATCAGGCAAATTCTTCTATAATATGGCGCTAGTTTCATTAGTGATAAGTGAATTTATACATTAGCAGAAGTTTAAGTTCCTTAAACATTTTTCTTGAAGTTACTTTCAAAATGGCTAAGTTTCTCAAATGTTATAAAGCTTAGAGAAAATCCCAATCAGGTAAACTCCTTTCAAGAGAAAGTTGTAAAATAGAATAAGAACCATTTGAAGGGCTTTGATTTGCATTCCCCCTTCTTTTTTTCCAGTGTCAACTTTAGCAATTCATTATTTTTCAAGATAATCAACAGTGATAAACTGTTGGCAATAATCCTGATTGACTTAGAGGCACTATTGTAAAGCTACTAGGAAAGTAAAATATTGTTTTCTAAATCTGACTTAGAGGATCTAGTTTAGACTTAATTTTGTTTAATCTGAATTAGCTTAGTGAACTCCTTATATTTTTTAAGTAGTATAGTTCTTTAACTAATAATATACAATAATGAGTTAGTCCCTTTGTAAAAATCTATAAAATATTTAAACTATTTTAATTTAATACTTATTTAAATAATAGATCTAATTAGATTAACTTATCTAATATTACAGAAAATAATAAAAAAGATCTTTTTCAATATTTATGTATAGATAAATTCTTTTTGAAAAAATATTATTTAGTTAATAGACTTTTTTAAAGAAATTTGAATTATATCATTCCTTTTTCTTTTATTAACTTAAAAATTAATAGTTTTTAAAATTTTATAATGATAAATTATTAATAATAAATCTAGTAAATAAAGATTTATACTAATTTTTTAAAGAAATAAAATATTGTTTTTTAGATCTGATTTAGAATACTTTAGTATAATAATGAGTTAGTTATTATAGAAAAAATCTATAATATTGTAAATAGTGACTAAATATTTTAATAAAATTAAACTATATGATATAATTACAAGTTAACCAAAATTATTGAAAAATTTTAAAATTAAAGCTATTAAATAGTTTGAAATATTAATCTTTAAATTAATAGTATTTTTAGAATATCAAATACTGTTTTTAAGTTTATTACTATAGTGAAGTAGTACTTGTTAAGCTTTAATTAATATAAAAATTTTTATCTATTTTATTATAATAATTTAGTTACTTTTGATTATAATTTTATTTAATTATAATAATTTAGTTACTTTTAATTATAACTTTATTTAATTATAAAAAATTATAAAATTACAAAATATTTTAATTAATATTAATATTGAAACTATTTTATTATAGAATAGATATTTATAAAAATATTTAAGATCTATATATTATAAATATAAGAAATCAATAAAGTATAAATATATTAATTAAAAAAAATCTTTGTTAAATTAGTATTTTGTTAAAACTTTATATAATTATTATATAAAGTATATACCAATTATTTATATATTTCTTCTATTACTAGGAAGTAAGTATTATTTCAGATACCTTTAACACGAAGATATTTCTTCAATACTATTATTTCATAACTTGTCTTTGTTTATTCAGTCGAACCATTAGACCATAATAAGTATAAGTGTTTTGTTGGTTACGAAATTATGTCCTTTTTACTGATAACATGATTCTTCTAGAGGGTAATTTTTAGTGACTAAAGTAATACGTAATACGTAATTACGTTAATCCAAGCGGATCAACTTTGCGTGACTAACATTACGTAATTTCACCGTAAATTTTTTTTTTTACTTTTTTTTTATATGCAATGCAATCGTTAAAATCCAAAATTCTTTAAGGTGATACAGAATTTGTAACGAATACAGAAAGTGAATACATATCTCAACATACGATTAAGATAGGGTGAGGGCGCAAAATTTCCCGAATAGTCAATCGGTAGAAATTAATTCCGGGCTCTAATTATTTCAAACGGAAGAACAGTGAAGAAAAATCAATTATTAAAAAATTTTCACGTCGAAATTTTTACTTACTGTAAAACAAGTCTGAGAAGGATATCAAAAAGCTTGCTTACTACCAAAGATTTTACAAAGACTCGAGTCTCTAGTAATATTGAAAAGAATTATAGTACATGTGACATGGAAAGAAACGTTCGATTTTTATTATTTTCAAGAAATCGGACATTACTTTCCGTGGTAATCCTAGATCGATCATGATATTTTCACGCCATCTATAATTTGCGAAAAACTTAAGCCTGAATTTAAAATAGCAGCAATGGAATCGTCATTATAAACACCAGACCAGATACCGCATGAAACTTACAGTATATATATAAATTCCATTACGTATAAAAGAGGCAATAAAAATAATAATAATAAATTTTCTTATATCGATTGTCTGTATTTCAGAATATACTGTACATCCGTAGTGGCTTAAAATTTAAAATGAACGAAATACTTCAATGTGTCACTTCCGAGTGTGGATTGAATAGAATATCCATTAGCAAATCTGTAAAGAAAAAAAAACGATCGGAAAAGGGGGATTTGGTTACGTATATAGTTGCGATATTGGCGGAAATTGGGGTGCAGTAGCATTAAAAGAATTACGTATAAATATCACGTCTACGACCATTAAAGATCTCCTTAATGAGGTTTTATTATTTGGGATAGATTTTGATCATGAATGTTATTATAAGTCAATAATTTTATAAATTTTTTTCTTCAGCTAAGACTGCATAGTAGAGCCCAAAGTCCTAGGATTATTAAATTATTTGGAATATGTCATAGTAAGCGTAATAGTATTGATCGATCAAATATAGTATTTTCAATGATGGATAATAACCGATAATTACTGTTAGGTGAATATGATAATGATATATGTTGCCTTGTAATGGAGTTAGCAGACTATAATTTAAGAACTTATCTACGTATTAAAAAAGATGAACTTCAATGGAAAGAGAAGATGAAGCTTGCAATCCAATTAACAGAAGGAGTCCCTTATATTCATAGTGAGATGAAAGCAACACACCGTGATTTGGTAATTTATTATACTGTATCTCACCAAGTTTCTATGTTAATCAACTCGAAACTAATTTTGCAATTTCTCGTGTATAGCATACTAAAAACATTTTGATCAAATGCGGGAATATAAAAATAGCCGACTTTGGATTATCTAAAAATCTTGATAGTACTACTTCAAGTAAAGGAGGGATATTCGGGGTCATTTCCTTCTTAGATCCCATGAAATTAAAGAATTTCGATTATAAATTAAATGAAAAATCTGATATTTACAGCCTTGGCGTAATTTTTTGGGAAATTTCTAGTTGCTACTCACCCTTTAATACTAGAGATCAGGTCTTCATTCTTTCTCGTGTAATTAAGGGCGATCGTGAAAAACCAATCGTTGGAACACCATCATCTTTCGTTCGACTTTACTCGAAATGCTGGGATGCCGACCCTTCTCTTCGTCCAAATGCAGATGAAACTCTTAGGCAATTACAATCATTATCTCTCGAGTCAGTCTATGATGGATCGAATTTAGCCAATAATAATTCGAACAGAGTTGGTAAGCACATACAGTACATAATAAGTTGAATTATTTTACTAATAAAATATGTTCGCCTAATCAATGTTTATCTAAGATTCAACCAATACCGAATTCTCCGCGGACATTATTAGTAATCCTTCAAGTGTTTTAAGTGTAAGTCAATCATGTGTGTATTGGTACGTAAATAGTAATTTATGTTTGACTTATAGTTTATCACGGTTTAACTACAATAATTATTTTTAATATAAACGAATGAAATCACAGTTATTAATAAAAATGATACATATAATAATTCAAGGATAGTGAGTATAAAATTTATTGTCATTTTTAATTATAAACTTTACTCTGTATTCAAATTTTAACAAGAAATACGAAATTCAGAACAGACGCATAATATTCGATATTACCCGAAATATTAAAGAACGAGCAGAAAATGCCTATCATAATAAAGCAGCATGCGAATATATTTCTGAACTTGTGCAGGAAAGTTTAGAAACTATTACCGAATGTTCATTTCAAGTCGGCGATGTTGATGACTCGGTGAAGTCACAAGAAGCCTACAAAGATTTACTGGTTGAAATAGAACATTATATAATTGAAATAGATAAACCCGGTGAATTTACAGAGAAAACGAAAGCATGGCTCATGAAAATTGGAAATGCAGAAGATGTAAGATTTTTTTCATGAACGTCAGTAAAAATCTACTTTTTATTTCCATAACATGATTAATGAAATTAAAAATACTTTATTCTAGGTTTCTTCAGCAAATGAAAATTTACTTAGAAAGCTCATCGACTTCACAAACAATTTTCATAAAAGCATGGCACATGATACAAATAAAA